ATAAAATCATCTTACCTGGTCAAGACAAAATCACTAAACCGAGAAAATTCCCAGTAAATAGAGGACCAAAGTCTGAGGACTGAGGAAGAATAAGGCCACAGCACAAGTCCATTGCATGATGAGCATCTACTTCATTCCTACAATGAGTAAAAGTCCAATTGATCTGGGAACACTGAAATGCAATGCAGTCAAAACACAAACACCACAATATGTGCACTAAAGATGAAACTTTTAAAAAGAAATTAAGCTTTCCCCTAAACAAATCCAGCTCCATAGACAAGAAAACATATAACAAAATTACAGCTTTAAGAAAGATGAAGTTTTAATAATATTAAACTGAAACTGACCCATTTAAGAGAAAAATTAAAATAAGAGGGGAAAAAAAATTCAAAGCATTTACTCTTAACCAAAATACCGATATTAGTTAAAAAAAAAAAAAACAGAATTAAAATAAAGACAAATATATAACAGGAATTCAATATTACTACTAAATGGAATGGCAAGAAAGGAAAAAAATACTAAAAAATTTTAAAATAAAATATAACGGAATAACAAACGTTGAAACTTCAGATGACCCATGCCACGATCCTCCATTGGAGATTCAAAGACTCATTTCAAGAAAAATGCTCTGCTTATGAATTAATTGAATGCAGAAAAAGAAAACCAATTTGTCAATTAATAAATTCAAGAAAGAAAGAAAGAATTATGCAGAGAGAAAGAAAAAGAAGAGAGAATTCATGACTTCCTCTGTTTCTTGGGCTTCCGGTGGAGCTGTCTTTCAGAGTGTTTCTCATTCCAGCGCGCATCCCTTTCTGGAGAGTTGGGAAATTTGTTACCGCAATTTGGATCGCTGCAGCTTTTCTTGAACTTGCGATGAGCCTTGTAATAGTGACTCGTAATGGCTTCCAGATCTCGAAAAACTCTCTCTGTGGGACAGTTATAGCAAATGAAGCCAGGAGCTTCTTCTTCCGGTTGGAAATTCTCCATTTTTTGACTGGTTTTG